CTTCGTAGTAATGCATAGGTTGGCTCGCGAGATTATCGAAACGCTTGTAGGAACATTTTTCCAATATATCGCGACGATATTTTTCAATATACGATACGACTACCATGATTACATCGATAAGGTTCGAAACAAATCCAAAAATCTACGTAAAACTTGAAAGATATTTATTCGATAGATAGGTTTCACGAAATTATTTAAACAGTCGATAAACCATTGTACGAGCAAACCTCGACGACATATGTACGTATGTATGGTGGAGAATCGTCTGCAACGCTGTGATATTACGTATTATGTTTAATGACAGCTGTGATACTAATTTCCAAGTGTACATTTCCAATTATCACGTTGCTCGTTAGTCTTCGGATTAGTTTCAATTTTACCTCTACGATCGCGATAGTTGTATCTCGTTACGATACCAATGAAATTTCAACGAGATTCGTACGACGCGTACGATATACGACATCACATACGATAATCACATCACATAAATAATATATACGCGTGTGTACACACGTATATACGAATAATTTTACCCTAGACCTTTTTTATATTTCTATATTTCTTACGCACGTATGTACAGTTACTCCTTATTATAATATTAAATTGCCACTTTGTAAAACTTGTCACGTTTCCTGTCTATGTTCAAAACGATAAATGTCATAGTAGATGATGAAACGTTTCAAAGGCGTTTCAAAGGCGTTTCAAAGGCGTTTCAAAGGCGTTTCAACGGGCAAACAAGCATTTCGAATAACATAGAAATAATAATAGAAATAATAATAGAAATAATAATAGAAACGAAGAATAACACTTACCGGCAACATAAGAGAACGCATGAATACGTTTTAATCTTCCTTTGCAATCGTTACGTATCGTATCGTTTAATCTTCAAATACTTGAAAAACACTGCGAATGAATGGTCTTGTAACGATCTGAACGTTCAAAATCTAAACGTCTTTTGTTTGTTTGCACGCATCAACTTGTATGTTTTACACGATGGGTTTTTTCCAACGTAAGAAAGTGAGTATCGAGCCGTAACTTTTTACAGATTGGACAGATTTCCTATGTATAGTTGAAATTCGTTTTTCTTAGGATGCACCGCACCGAACGAAAATGATTCAGCTAGCTGATCTATTTTCGGTACCGGAAATGGGTCTTTTATGTAACGTTACGGAGTACTTCCTTAGAAATCATATCGATTATCACCCCGAAATACTTTTCAGAGATGTTAAGGTAAGACGATATGTTATATCGTATGTATTGTTTCCATAAAAATCAATATCGTTGATTTTTTATATTTTAGAATTCTGTAAAAAGTTGTCATCCTATAATGCATGGTTTGGTAGTACAAAATGTATCCGAATATTTGGAACAAAATAAGGATTTAAAAAGATTTTTTGATCGGCTTAAGAAAGCTAATAAAAAAATGTTTTTAGTAACGAATAGCCCTTTTCATTTTGTGTAAGTATCGTGTAACCAACGACGTTAATAACCACAATAATACATAAGATACTAAAATACGTATTATTTATCCGTGTACAAAGTAAATTATCTCGACATACAAAGTAAATTAATAGCTTGATAATACCGATAAGACTAACAAAGATGGAATAATTTAATTTACCATCGTCTCGGATTAATTTCATCTTTCTTCTTCTTCTTCGAATGCAACACGTTGCTAGTGCGAGACCATACGCTCTTCCTAATTCCAGATACTTTCTCAAACAGAGATCTCGTAGTAAATAGCATCGAACATCTATGGAACTAATATTTGTTCCAATGTTTAAATAATCAAATTAATAAAATAAATAAAACGAATATTTGATCGAACGTCAGTGGGCTCTCATATTCCGTAAATTCATCCTATATGATGCGTATCATCATGCGTATATTGATATTTTTTATAGCGATACTGGAATGAGATTTTTGGTTGGCGATAATTGGAAAGATTATTTCGATGTAGTGATAGTACAAGCAAGAAAACCGAAATTTTTTACCGAAGAATCTCGACCTCTTAGAATATACGACGAAGTTAACAAAACGCAGCTATGGGACCGAGTCACCAAACTCGAAAAAGGAGTTATATACCTTGAGGTATGGCTGAATTTCAGCGTTTTATTTTTCCATTATTTTACTCATTTTTCGATGTTTAAAGGCATTATACGTTCATTTCACAACTTAGGGCACGGTTAAACAATTACAAGATATGACCGGATGGCGGGGGCATCAAGTATTGTATTTTGGAGATCATCCTTACAGCGATTTAGCGGATGTAACGTTGGAGCACGGTTGGCGAACTGGAGCTATAATTACGGAATTAACGGTAAACTTGCAATTTCTTGCACTTTTATACCGAGAACTGAGAAACTCGTTGAAAAATACGTTTTACGTAGTCCGCTGTACTTTAGCCTACTATATCAAATATACATCTTAATCTACGTCTACAGTCTAAATCTAAACATCTGTAAATGAGAAAACAAATCTTACGCTGATATTATCAAAAATTATTATTTTCAAAGATCAACCGCATAACAGAAACTATTTCTGCGTGTTACAGCATGAGATTGCAACGTTAAATAATCCAAAATTTAAAGAAAATGCAAATTGGCTACAAATGCTGACAGGATTGATCGAAGAACATCAAGATTACGAAGGAACGGATGTGCAAGCGGTACTCGATGAATGGATCAAGGAAAGAGATAAATTAAGGAACGAGATAAAACGAGTATTCAACGAACAATTCGGCTCTGTGTTTAGAACATATCATAACCCCACGTATTTTTCGAGAAGACTTTTCAGATTTGCTGACATTTATATGAGCTCAATTACGAATCTATTAGAATACGCGACAAGTCATACCTTCTATCCGAGAAGAGGCGTAATGCCACATGAATATACAAGTTATTTCGTGTAATACTTGTACATAGCTATCTGTTATTTAAGTTTATGACCGAAGATAGCCAATGCTTTGAAGCGTGACAGGGGCTTACGGATCGATGATCAAAAGTATTTCAATCAAAACTTCCGAATCGGACAACAATGTCAAAAATTAGGTATTTAGAAAGTTAAAATGCATTTGCATACAATTTTATGTATATAACAAGAACATCTTGTCACTGCTTCGTGCGTTAAAATTATGTGATATTTGACGCAAAAATACCTGATATGCATAAATCTACGTATGCATCATCGTCGTTTCTTTTTCTTTTCTTTTCTTTTTTTTTCTTTTTTCTTTTTTTTTTTTTTTTCTTTTAGACAATATAACTATTTTGCTCGAAAGTTAATTCATTCAAAATGAATTAACATAAACTATATATACGTATAAATGATTCGTATATGTCGCGTTATTATTTAGAACGTCTGAAAATTCTTGAGAATAAATTTACAAAATTACGGAAAGTTTGCAAAAGAAAAGAAAAGAAAAATGGAATAGTATTACAAAGAGAAAACTGAGATGATCTATATAGAACAATAAAAAGGGTGCACTGCTTATTCAGCATTAAAAACTACGTACTGACAACAAGTACAAGGTGGTACTTTTATTTTTACTGCTAGAAATATTCGCGCTGCTATCCTTGGACGAGAATATTCATTTACTTAACAAGAGGTATTACGATATTCGTGGCAATAGTGGTGTACCGTCTAGTAAAAAACATATATTATGTACATAATTTTAGCAAATGTGTATGATATTGAAATCTCGGAAAAAAGAAAACCGCAAGAACAATTGACCACAACGAAACCTGTCCAATTGAATAATCTCATCTATATAAGATATTTCGTTTTTAAACGCAGATCGAATATTTTCGAGAATAAAAACGTAGAAATCACTCTCTCTTCGTATTAGTTTCGTCTACTGTAATATTTTGTTCTTTTTTTTCTTTTCTTTTTGTTCATATATATGTGTGTATATATATATATATATATAGGAGTTTACTAGGTTCTACGCAAAGAGAATACAATATATCCAATTAGAGTATATCGAAATTACTAATATAGAAAAGAAAAAAGAAATTCCATTTAATACTTTGTTTATAGTAGTGCAATAGTATGTTTTAAGATTGTTTTGTTTCCGCTGAACACGACATGTGTTCAAATGTACGTAGATAGTCGTGATAGTTAATAAAATTAAATTTAGACAAAGTTATTATAACCTTCGACATTTGCACTTATGCCATCATCGATTTAGTTTTATTTTCATTTTCAGCACCTCGCTCTTTAAATTATATCGAAAGATATATTTATTTTGCCATCATATTTTACCTTATTCCATATAAATGATGACGAATGGTAACGTTAAAAGATGAATTTTTAGTCTAATTTAATCACTGCTCAATTTGAATAACTTGTTTTACCATTCCTATTTTAATAAATATTATATAAAATAAATAATAAAGTTAACGAATATTATTATTATTATTGTAACTCATATAATCATCATAAAAGGTGTTTAAAAATTAATTCATCCTTCGTTTACATTATTATTGTCCTTGTTACATTAATAATTAGCAGTAAAATTTACGATATTCTCAACTGCAAATGAAAAATACAAAATAACATTCCAGAAGAAATACGGGAATAGTTGACTCGCTTTAACGATTTTCTACATTCGAAACATCATAATGAGAAAGAAAATTGCAAATGATAGTAATGACAAATAATGATAAATTACAGCGATTGCAAAACTAATCACGTAAAAGCGAAATAAATTTCTTTAATTCGCTTTTTCTTTTTTTTTTTTCGTATAAATGAACTATTTCATGACATAAACTAATTGTAATTATCCGACATTGTCCATAATCGATTGTCTATAATAAACTGAAAATAGTCAAAACCAACCATTCAATGGTAGGATTAATGAAATCTAGAACAAATATTGGCCATTTAAAGAGAAATTTAGATGGAAATAGATCGATATACGTTAAAATATTCCTAGGATGCGGCAGGTATTTAAGAGCGTAATGTACGACATACGTCGCGTATTTTATAAAGTGTAATATATGTATATAAATTAATCAAATATATTTAAACAAATATTAGAGATACAGTATTTACATAAAGTTCTCTCACACTCATGCGAATACAACACGCACACAGCATTGTCCTACATGTGTTTATCAACTTCGAATACAATCACTCCGTAACATGATTCCGCTATCCATACCTCAAGTGTATCTGTACTCGATCGTTACATTACCAAAAATGGCTTTAATAGTATTTACTTCATCTAATCGTCGCATGATTTTAAGCTAAACTCAATAATACACAGCCCACCGCTGTAACATTTAGGTAGCGGCAACATTATCGCCGCCATATATCCTATAGTTTTATTAAAATGCGAGTTCAATCACGACTTTCGTTTCGTATGTCAATGATACGAAATCTATGTCTATATGGTATCGATGGTACCGAATATTCACATCGCTGAAAACTAATTATACGTTCAGTCTGCATCAAGTATGTCGTTTATTAGTTATTCAGTAAGTCAATTACTCAAAGTTATTACAATCCATATTATATAAATTATTATAACTAACATATTAAATTACATGCATACGTTATTTACATTATGTATATATTGAATTTCAATAACAAGTTACTGACTGAAAACTGACAATGAGAGGATATTTTATAGTTCGTGTGATTCGAACAACATAATTCTTAATCATGTGTTACGATTCATCATTTATTATGTTTATCATTTATTATTATTATAGTTATTGGTCACTTTTTCTTGACTTACTGATTCATTAACAATTTTCCGTGTACAGTCTTCTGATTCAATGCAGATACGAGACATATGACCTACCGACGAGGTAGATTAACAAAATTAAATTTCAGCTAGCAAATGTCATATTGCATACATAGCGATTTAATATTTTCATACTATGAAAAATTAGGAATTTTATTTGACCTAACGCCGTGAAGATGAAAAGAATTACTAATTAAAATGGAACTTAAATTGGAAGGGAGAGCCATGGAAGTGATGGAATTCTTGGAAGGGATTGAAACCTTGTTGATGTTTCCCTGATTCAGGATCTAATGGATCTTCTCCTTGATCAAATTTCGCTCTTTTTTCATCGTCAGTCAATACTTCTTTGGCAGCTGCAATGTCAATAAATCTTTTCTCTGCTCGTTTCTTCTCCTCCCCTTCTTGAAAATTATCGGGGTGCCATTTTTGCGCAGCTTTCCTATATGCTTTGATAATATCACGTTTAGATGCTGTTCTTGGCACACCCAAAATTTTGTAATAATCTCGTGATTCAGAAAGTTTTTGTCGTTGTTGCGCTTTATGAAGACCTTGCTTCGCCCTTTGTAGACTCATATCAATTTCTAAAGCTTCTTTAAAATCTCTAATCGCTTTTGGAAAAATAATTTTTACGATATTAACTTATATTAACAACACAAGAGATTCGTGTACTGTACAACGTGCACGTACAGCTGTATATAGTTTTCACGCGATTATCTCTTAAACAAGTCGCCGTGTGAGAATACTCGAGCGAATTAACGAGTCTGAAGTAGAGAGAGTAGTTCAATGTTTAAATCGAAGAACGAAATGCGTAGTTTGAAAGATAATCGCGTATCAAAGTTTAACATTTTAACTTTATATAAATAACACTTACCATCGTCAAACATCTCAGCAGCGAGATACGCTTCTGCCCTGTCGCAATATACCGCAGCTTCTTTTCTTATTTTTAACGCTTCGTGACAATTTTTTATTGCTTGACTTGGTTCTGAATTACCGGTATAACATTTACAAAGATGCTGATGAGCAATGAAACGCACGTTAGCTACTTGCGGTTCGAGTTTAAGTACAGATTGAGCAGAGTCTATACAACTAGCGTAATCTCTTTCATTTTCGTACTCATTCGAATCTGTTAACAGTTTTGCCACTTTCTTAACTTTCTTATAAAATGAAAAACACTTTGAATGCTCCGGATCAAGTTTCAAACATTCTCGAATTTCCCTGCACATACATAATTTTAATTATACGAACTAAGATACGACGTACATAATTTTACGTTCTATTCTTACTTACTTTAAAGATTCGTCGACTTGTCCAAGACGATAATGCAAGGTGGCTAATTTTAAAAATCCTTGCATATTATCGGATTGTAACTTGGTCGTAGAACGTACATCAGAAATAGCGCTAACATAATCTTCAAGCGCCTCGTAGCATTCTGCTCTACGTTCCCTAAGTTCAGCCGACCATGGACATACTTCGATAACTCTGGAAATTTGTTGCGCAGCTGCTGCATAATCACCGTCAACCATTAATCTGTCTATAACTAACAAATCTTCTTGGACAGGTGCTATTTTATATAAGGCATTATAGGCATCTGAATTCTGCGGTTCGACTGCTAACTATAACGAATGAAACAGAAATATTAGAACAGAATGGAAACACCGTATATTAATTATAAGCTTGTGTTTTTAAATAAAAGCGCGCTTACAACATCTCGAAAATCAGCCTCTGCTTTATCGAATTGGGCTTGTTTAAGCAATACATTGCCACGTTGTAATCTGGCGGAAGTAAAATCTGGCTTCAATTCCAAGACTCTATCAAGGTCAAGGAGCGCAAATTTGGCTTTACCTAATGCTAGATAAACTGTGCCCCTTTTATAATATGTTAGATAGTTATTTGAATCTCCCTCTATAAAAGCAATATATATCAAGATTTTAAGAAAATTTAATATATATATATCTTTTTTTATTTTTTGTACATTTTATTTTTTATAAATCTATCGCAAAAGTTATCTACAAGAAAATATATTAAAATAAACGCTCGCAAACAAGACTTACCAACAGCTGCATGATAATGTGACAGCGCATCCTGTAACTGTCCTTTTGCTAAAAACTCTCTACCTAATTCCAAATGCCTGTCAATTTCTAATTGAGAAACACTCCCAACCACTGGAATACAAGGTTATTAAGTATTACACTGCAAAATACTTATATTAAAGGTATCGTAGGTTAGGATTATTTACCATCCAAAGACAGATCCAATAAGACCAATAATAAACCACAATGATACATGACTGAATAAAAAACTGAGCCACGATAATATGAATATTTTAATACATAAGAAAACAAACTTGCTGGCTTTAGAAGCCTCTACCTAACCACCCGATAACGCAAAACTGTTCAGCCACGCCGCCATTGCGATCGTGGTCTTATACGATTGGTCCAAGTTACTCCCAACAGAATTGGCGTTTCGTCATCAGCGGTTACGATCCCCTGTATTCCAATTCCAGATAATACACCTACCATGTAAAGATACCCAACTAGGATTATCTGCTTCTTAAACTATAAATTTATCGCTAAGAGTAGTTTATCCTTTACCTAGACCTTATATAAATCAATGCTCTAACCTTTTGACCCAATTAAAAATTCTATTTATGAAAGTATGTAACGAATAGAAAATTGCTAAAATCAAGAAATTCGCGTGTGAGAATTCATTTAGAATTTATTTGCTTCTCTAAACATATTCTTCCCTTCTCTTCTAAAGACGTATAAAATAATAAAAATACGTACATGAAAATTATCTGTGTGTGGTCGATATGTATATTTTTGATAGTGATTTAGGATATTTTATATAAATTAATATTTTTCCATACCCATGAAAACTAAATATTTTATAGTAGTTTTCATCACGGATACGAAAGCGAGAACACACAGGTAATTATCCTACTGAAATTGCATGAATTAAAAATTGTACGGTATAAAAGATTATGCAATTTTTTTATGTTAAAATATAAAAAGTAAAGAACTACTGACGCATATTCGCAAAAAATAGTGTAATGCAACTGTAATGCAAAATATCTTGGCAATGGCTTGTTTGAAAAACGATGGAACATTTGAATTTTCATGCGAACAGCAGGGTAAAAAGGCATATATACACGCACATAATGTATAAAGAGAGACTCTACACTGCATAATCTTTCCTTTCTTTATTATACGATTCATTTAATAGAATTCTCCTGTCACTTTGCATAATACTATAAATAAACGAATGAATCACTAAATGAACGACGTTTAAATAATATATGTGATCCATCGTCTCTTATGAGGTATTTGTAACAATATTGACACTCTACAATCATTCTTCGCGGAACACACATGTTGCTTTATCCAAGCGCAAGAAGCACATGCTATCCACAATGCGACCGTAACTTATTACTAATGAACGTCAAGTGTATATATATTACGTATATATGTATATGTATATGTATATATCATACACTTTATAAGGTTAAGTTGACTTCCCTTTTAAATTTCAGACACTTTATTTTTATTACTTCATTCAATAGCCGTACGACGTACAGTTGTTTGCAGATTTTTTTCCTACTTCTCGTATTTTTCTCGGTTCACCTAATGTAGCGTGTAAATGTGCAATTATTAATTAAGAGACCGACAAAATGGTACATTCATCGTTCCGTTTCTTAACTCTTTCACACTTTTGCCATTTGCTCGCCATCTCAGTGAAGTAGATATATAGCAGTATCATTAGAGTTACAAGTGAATGATACAACGAGCGTCATTCGCCGTAGAAAAATGAAACACAGCCATTGAGACTCGTATCGAAAGCGCAACGTTATTGTGCTTTCTGTAGTTTGCTCTTTTCCTTCTTTACTCTTTTCTTTTCTTTTCTTTATTTTCTTTATTTTCTTCTTTTTTTTTTTTTCTTTTCCGCTCCTCCATACACGTCTTGTCTGCGTTCTCGATTCAACGACAAGCGACGCTTCTCGATTAAATAACATTCATAAAAGTTAGAAGACATTTTTTTTGCCATCCCACCTAGTTTTGCCCACGAAAATTTGCCACCTACGCGTGTGCTCTTCGTTTTCTATCTCTCCCCCTTCTCTCGTTTTCTTTCACTCTCGTTCTCTCGTTTACTTTCTTTCTTCCCTCTGCCTCACAATCGTCTCACGCGCATACGATAACTCAATGCTTCTTTTTCTGTTTCCTTTGAGTATTAGTATCTTATCCTTTCTTTTTACCTTAAACAGAAAATTGCTCGAGGTAGACACACAATTAGCGTATATAAATCTTTTTGTTTTTCACCAAGAGCAAATTGAACAAGATTCGAGTTTTCAAACACGCGTAACGTAAAAAATTACGAAAGAAAGAAAACTATGATCTACCGCACGCAACAATTTTATTCGGTAGCAATTTACGTGTACCGATTATATTTTCTTCTTTCGTTGACATTGTTGCGTGTTGTACAGAGTAACATATGGCTTACAATGTTTCTCTCTCTCTCTCTCTCTCTCTCTCTCTCTCTCTCTATCTATCTATCTATCTCTCCCTCTCTCTCACTCTCCCTCTCTCGCTCGTATGTGTGCTTTGTAATTGCGCATTCTTTTCGTAATAATGATTGCAGTCACAGTCAAACGCCACTTTTTTTTACATAATATGTAACGATTACTATTCGTAGCCCCTCACATTTCTTCGCACTACACTTTAATTGATCTTTGTCTAATCATTCCACTCTGCGTAGATCCATAAATGTTTTCTAAGGCTGCTCGTCCGATATACTTTAGAGGACCAAACAATATTTAAAGGTATTTGTACCGTACAAATGTGACTGTCCTTTCGAGAGATGTAACATAAAAAATAAATACTTAACACACGTTAATAAATAGTCTCGTTTATTATACCACTTTCCTATTTCCTCTAAAGATGCTAATACGTCCTAAATCATAATACCGTGCTTGAATTTATACATTTACCAGTTACGAAACGGTGGACATCTGACTATCGCACAAATATATTTATCAATATTTGTTTTTTTTTTTTGTTTTAAATATGAAACATACGACAATAGCTACACATCGTTTAGATTCGATCACGATACTCGAACACCTGTTGGTTCACAATATACGAAAGGAAAGAGGAAAAAAAAAAGATAATAGTACACATGGAATTAATGACATTGTGATTGCTCGGCGGTCAACATCACTCTGTTATGTATAAAAATAGCGTTATAACTAGGAGAGAAACAAGTATGAAAATACTTTCGTGTATAGTTGTTACTTGCATAATCTCTGTCCACCACATTATTCGTAAATGAACATATTACTTCCAACTGCACAAGACTAATAACTTACACTGACACATCATATGTATTCGTTGCCTGAGTGAACGATTGGACGATAGAATCCAGAATTTCTCCGATTTCATATACCTAGCTATGGAAATTTCAACGGGAGGTCTGTCTACAACAGAACACTGTCAGAGACGATTGCGGGTTTTTATCGATTACGAATCTCGCGAAGAAAGGAGAGGAGAGGAAAAAAGATATATAAATATGCGAAAGGAAAAATTCGGGATAATAGTGTCCAAAAGTCACCTATTTTCTTTTTTTTTCTTTTTTTGCTCGTTTTCACCTATCGCAGTAAAATAACGCAACGCAATACAGCAAAGCCGTTATGCAAAGTTTGCGCATATAGTACCACCTACGAAATCATACGTAAATATTTTTATCGAAAGGAGATGAAATAGTAATAATAATAATAATAATAATAATAATAATAATAATAATAATAATAATAATAATAATAATAGTAATAATAATAGTAATAGTAATAATAATAATAGTAATAATAATAATAGCAATAATAATAGTAATAATAATAATAGTAATAATAATAATAATAATAATAATAATAATAATAATAAAAACAATACGAACAATAGCGATAGTGGTACTAGTGATAGTAATAATAGTAATATTACGGCATGATCTACTATCTCTTAAATAGACTAAGGTCTAACTGAACAATTGTGCCGTAAAATTGTACACTATATTAACAGAAAAGTGACCGATCACTTTTCGTTGTGAATTCTTCTTGTAATGTTCTTGGCAGGGCCTCCGAGTTGATAAACGGACTCGACGATAAATCAATCATATTAGAATTTGAAACCACGCGCATCAATGGTGGTCGGAAGCCAACAATATTATTCGTATAACACTATTTGAAAGTTCTAGTTGAAATAATTATTCCCCGTCAAAGAGGCATTCACACCTTGGTCCACTGTCACACGGCATACGATTCACGCACGCGATTGCACTATAAATCTATTAATATAACAGGTATAAGTATGACATGTCTAAAAATCCTGTCAGTTGTCACACAAATTGAATTTGTACTTTTTCTCACATAGATTAGGTAAGAATCCGACATGTTTGCACAAAAGATATCGACATTCTATAAAGCCCTACCAACATCATCAATCAGTAATGACGCGTTCCGCCGTTATTATCTATTATTAATGCGCGTTTATTTTAAGTAGAAACAATGCCCCAAAAACGTGTTTTTAGGACTGTAAGAGGCTAGCGTTCAGCCCTCCCCGATCGGACAACAGCCACGTTGTTCTTGATGTTCTATTCACTTTTAACGACTTAATATTTCCATTCTCTGCTCAAACAACTGAGCTCATGCTTTCCGGACATTCAATGCCGATTAATTCGTACATTTAATATTTGTATTTCGTTAAATTGTTCATTTATCAATTAGCATGGAAATTGAATGTCACAAGATCGTTCGGTATCACAGTCGTTTTTCAATTATTTTAATGTTTATGTATTTACGAATATTACTTAGTATGTATATATATATATATATATAGCGTACTGATAAATACAGTTATAAAATATGAGTGCGCCTTTATGCATCCTTATTTTCAAAGGGCCTGCTTTTTGTATATTTTTCTTCCTTTTTTACCCCCTTTTGTCTTGTAAGGTTGAGCCAACAAACAACGTAATGTATTTTTGCTCTTTGTTCTTATCTCTTTTGAAGTTCCCTTCTGTAACTGCAACCGTATATTTTTACCCGTTTTTTCTTTTTTGTGTTCTTTTTCTTTTTCTCTTTTTTTTTTTTGTGTGTGTGTGTGAGCTTTCTCGTTCTAGAGCACTCGCATTCAGTATTGCGATCTAAGATTTTGACCACCGTACCAATTTTACAGGACAACGTCTTTGTTACGTTTAGAAATTCTAATTAGAGTATGTTAAAATTCAGGTACAAATATACCTGACGTTTGCTGAAAATGTTCAGCCTACTCTAAATACAATGACCCAACTTTTAAATAAAATAACTCTTTGAATCAAAAGAGTTACAGAAGCAAGAAGTTTACAGCATCAGACTTTTAAACTTACTTATATATTAACAGGACGTGACAGAAATATAAACGAGATTTCTAAAAGTACCTTAAGACGTAGCCTGTGTGTCCTTTTCATAACATCAAAGCTCTCGACTACTGAACACTTAACGCGATTTAGTCGATTAAACCATGATATCGCCGGCGCAACGTCGTCTGTGTCTGGGGACGGCAAAACAACAAAGTACCATTCGTCGCTGGACTATAGTAAATTTAAAACAGGAATCGTGACGAAACCTATGGCGATGGCGATATGGCGTATCGTAGGCGCCTAGTCAAATATAGATGCGTTAAAAACGAAGTAAGAAGGAAAATGGCGCCACTGGTATTAAATTAAATTACACAAGGTACTGGCCATTCAGGCGAGAATAATAAAGCACTTGTGCATTTAAAGCTCTATGATTACACGAATCTAGACGCCACACGATTCTCGAAGATACGCCCACCACGTCCTTCAAAAATTTTAATAATGAAGCCACAATGAGCCCCATAGTCTCGACAGGAGTTCTAAAAAATTTCACTAAGTTTCTTCTCACCTACTACGCGTCGCATCGTTATACCGTAGCTAGGCATTAACGACTGTTCGATTTGATTCGTTAATCAATATACTATTTGTGTTGTTCAACACGCACGGCAACGAAACTTTGGATGGATCCTACATTTCTCTCCAATAGCTGACAAATCCTGATAACTCTTTCCCTTCGAAACGAATTCATCGTCTTTGGTATCGTATGATGAATTCCTTTCACAGTTCCTAATGCTGAAGATTGCATTCTGGATTTGTCAATCGTGTTTCGTCGCACGCGAATAAAAGTATTTATGGAATTGAATAAACACAATTATCTTTTTTCTTTTTAGTTTGAAAATTGTAGTGCACAGGCAGTCAGCGAATGTGATTTGTTTATACGTGATACTGTCTTTTCTTGTGTATACGTATACGCGCGCAAATACGTGCGTGTTGTACCCGATGTGTATGTCGTACGTGTCTTTCTTACATATATTTGAATTTACGTGTACAGATAGTAATAATGGTAAAAGTGAAAATAGAAATGGCGATAATGATTTTTACTTGTCCCACCAATCAGGATCATTACCGCTGACATTGTTAGCAGAACTATTATACGGGCTGTTATAGTTACCTCCGTAATTGCCATAACTTCCTATAAGAGAAAGAACGATTTATACGAAATTTTCATTAAATTACGATAATGAACATTTACGAACCTCCGTAACTGCCAGGCCTATTGGAGGAACCATTATTACGGGCAGATCCGGAACTTGGTGTTTGACGATAATCTCTAGCACCAAACCCACCGCTAAATCGGCCTTTGGTACTCCCAGCCCGACGAGATCCACCTCCAGAATATCTCGCTTCAGAGAACATATCGTCTAACCAAGGAGGGAGTTCCTGATTAGCTTCAATCAGAAGAGATACCAAATCGCGCACCAAGTTAATATTCTTGCTGTTGAAGAATGACGTTGCTAAACCTGTCGCACAAATTACATTTGTACTATCATTAAACATCGGACAACAAAGGGTAATAAATGCCTGTAATAATAAATATATCATAAAGTAAAAAAGACGAACCTAAATTTCCCATACGACCAGTACGGCCAATTCGATGAACGTATTCTTCAACATCTCCCGGTAAATCGAAGTTGATTACGTGCTTCACATGTGGAATATCAAGCCCACGGGCAGCAACGGCGGTAGCAACAAGTATCGGCGCTTTACCAGCTCGGAAGCGACGCAAGGCTTCTTCTCGTTCACGTTGTGTTCGATCACCGTGAATGCTAGTCACCGGATATCCCATATGATGTAAATATTCTTCCAACATATCTGCACCTTTCTTTGTTTCCACAAATACTAGAGTCAATGACTCAGCAGCTAAATTAAAAAGATAATTGTTAATGTTATACATGTAAAGTATACACGTATTACACAATGTTTCGCAATTTCGATTACGTACAAGAATCTGAGTAGTTGCCAGCTTGAAGAAGGTCAAGCAAATAAGAACGCTTATCATGTTCTTCCACCCATACAATTTTCTGAGTAATATTTTCAGATGTAGAACCAACACGGCCTACAGCTAAAAAGATATAGTTACTGAGGAAGTCTCTTGCTAACATTTGAATTTCTTTCGGAAACGTAGCTGAAAACATAAGTGTCTGCCTTTCCCCAGTAGGAGGCATTGTGTCCTCCTGGACTATACGTCTTATTTGTGGCTCGAAACCCATATCCAACATACGGTCTGCTTCGTCCAATACTAAATATCTGGAAAGAAATATTAAACATTATACACTGTAAATTAGACGTTCGAGATTAATAATAACACAAGTTTTATACATACCGACAATTATGCAACCCAATTTTACCTCGCCCTAACATATCTACAAGGCGACCAGGTGTTGCAACAAGAAGATGACAACCGCGATCTAATTCTCGCATTTGATCTACAATGTTCGAACCACCATAAACAACAGCAGGACGCATACGTGATCTATATGCGAATTTCCGCGCCTCGTCATATATTTGCGTAGCAAGCTCTCTTGTAGGTGCTAGTACCAGACCAAGAGGGAAATGTTTACGCTTTCCAGAAGTGTTGGCTGGAGGTGCACGTGGCCCGCTTTCATAAATCTGATTTAATATTGGCACTAAAAAGGCCGCTGTTTTACCAGACCCCGTTTGGGCACAGGCCATAACATCACGGCGCCCGATAATAATCGGTATCGCATATTTCTGTACTGGCGTGGGTTTATCATAACCAGCCAAAGTAATGCTATTCTTTATTATCTCCGTCAGCTTAACTTCGTCAAACTATAAGAAGAAGTAAGATCATAAGATGCGTAAAAGTTGATACGACTCATTTCTAGTTATAAACTATATGTGTGCAATTCAATTATATGCAATTTTAAAACTTACAGATGTGATATGTGGAGGTATGTTATCGCCAGTAGCCTCAACTGGGATATCCTCATATTTACTAAAGTTAATGCCAGTATTGCCACTACCAAACAGCTCCACCTCCAATCGCTCGTCTCTTGAAGTGGGAATTGTCCAGTCGATTTCAGAGTTTGTTCTACCTCCCTCTCTATCGTCCTTCCATCTACCACCCATTCTGTGATCGTTTCTGCTCTCTTGCCAGCGATCGTTTCTAGGTTGATCCTGCCATCGGTCATTTCCAGAATTAATTTGGCGATCTCGCTCTCGCTCTCGGTCAGAATTGGCATATCTATAATCTCTTCCATTTTCTTGATTGGCACTACGTCTGTTGCGCCCACCAAAATTCCCGAAATTTCCAAAGTCGACATCACGAGAGCGTGTATCTCTGTAGGCTGAACCACCTCTTCCCCTATCACGATCTCTATCCCTTTCCCTTTCACGATCGCGATCTCTTCCTCTATCTCTATCGGAATATGGTCTTGAGTTGGAAGAAAAATGGTGATCACCGCCAGAAGGCGCGTTGCCTGTGGACAAATTAATATTACAGTCCTTATCTTCTCTTTATTATTATTATCATTTTTTTTTTTTAATTATTAGACGAAATCGTTTAAATAATAAAACTTTTTATAAAATAGCACTATACAAAGAAGCTCTACTGACTCATATATCTTTTCAGTAGCAACATTTTTTAGATATTCGTCCAATATTTGATATTATATTTGGGTGTTTACAATACAAATTCTACATACATACATGTATGTAGATGTATAACATAGTAGAAAAATCAACAGAATCATTTCAAAATATGATACTATGTATATACGCACATGCAAATTAAAAATAAAGCATAGATATAACGTAATAAGAATTTAGAAGACTCACTTCCAGACTTATTTCGCAAATGCGGTGCTACGTAGCGACCCCCACTTGGTTGGCGGGAGCCCTGCAAGTCCAGACCAGCTAACTAAAATATAAAGTACAAATATTTTTAAATCTTCTTTATTCGTAATATACAACAGTAATGAGCAAACTCTGGATTTTTTGAAAATATAACACGTAAGTACTTCAATATGAAATTATTTAAATGAAATTGTCTAAATTATGTCATATATGTACAGCATGTACATCATTGTTTACAATTCCTTTAATCATGCCTATTTACTTTCTATTTCTTTATCACTATGAAAGGTTTGGTTATCATCTTGCACTTCACTGACAATTTACATCGCGGTTTTTAGTAGCCAAGAGATATGAGATATAAGATATCTGATATGAGAAATAAGTAAAATATCATATTGACAAATTAAGTAAAATACAAAAAGTAGCAAATAGATCGTGTTTAACATACATGAACATAAATAATTATAATGATATATATATAATAAGACAAACTAGTCTTTGATCTAATATACAAAGTTGATAAAAGATATTTCACTGAGGTCAACAAATATTATTCGTCACATGTTACAACAATAAAGACTATAATGACAACATATAAAAGAATCCCTATGTTCATAAAATAAATGTATAGTGAAAAGAAATTTTAAAATGATGTAGCACTTTTTAACGAAGTCAATTTATTTATGAAAATAATATATGGATGAAAGTAAATATGAGATGACTAATAAAATTTATTGTTTGATTGACACATCAACGACAGATTTAGGTTGTATATTACTTTCTATTCTTAATAACAACCGGAAACAATTATTAGATATTTTGTCAATTTCCAGATCTCAATCTATGTACGTATTTATACAAGGAATCAAAGACAAAATTAAACAGCGTCCGATTGATGAAAAAGAAAAAAAAAGAAAAAACAGACCTAACTATCGAAACAAAATAACCATGGGAAAGATGTATCTTAAATTTAAATACTAGGAAACAAACAGAACATATACCTATTTGATATTTATACGCTGTCATAAATATTACTATGTATGTATATATGATAATATGTAGAATTATTTTATAGGGTATATGCCCTAAATTTGTCACTAAAATGTATGTATCTTCTTGTTCTTATTAATAGAATATCAAACATATTGCTTGTCTTTATTAGATAATGAATTATTTACTGTTAAATAAGCAATTATTAATTTAAAACTCATATCACATCTATGACAAATTTAAGCAGTGTGGATGTTGTTCCCTATTCCTTAAGCAAATGGAGCTTTTACATCCGGTGTACCCTCAATTTTATACGGAATTATGTATTATATGTAATTCATCTAATCATAAGAACTTGAACATGATAGAAGAGCAATGTTAGAATGCGTCACGGCACGAGGTTTGCTGTTCCCGGAATTGGTTGCCGCCATTACAAAGCTGTACGTCACAAACCAACCCGACGATGATCCAAGTCTACAAACTTTTTAATGTAGGAAAGATGTAAGAATGATTGATCCGCAGAAATGTAGGTTATAAAATAATATTTACGGACAGTCACGCACGATTATATGAAGAAAATTTTTGGGACGGTATAAGACAACAAAAGATTCAGGTAGAAAGGATAAAGGAAGAAACGGTAGATTGGAACAAGGCTTGGCCTGTCAAAAATATAACAAAACCGCTAATTTTCTTTACCTGCTGCTCTAGACCTGATCCATTCTGGTTGGCTGCATTACTCATATTACTCCGCCTCGGTGCGTATTTTTCGTGGCTCTGCCGCAGAAGCTCTTTAGCTATTTCTCACCTAGGCAATCACTAAGCAAAAAATTTCAATTGTTCGTTCCTTTTTTCTTTCCTTCCGTTTCTTGATGAGCTAAAAACGAAACTTGTCGACTAAGTCAAGTATTTAGAATTACAGTTTCTGCCTGTCGATAATTCGGTACAAAGGAAATTCGAATACTGGCTACGATGAAAGGCCTCTGGCCACACTTGACGTCGACGCAACAAAAATGGCCGAGCGCCGAAATATCGCTAGCAAAATGGCTGACGACTAATATCCGCCGGATATCGACGCAACTAAAAGAGCATACTTTGCTGGACAATTTTCTGTTTGTTTACCATTCCTACTGTTCTAGCGTATTAAAGTTTGGAACAAAATTTACGGCTTATACATGATGTTAGAATGGAATCCACGAACACATTGTATTACTTTTCTAATTTATTATCGGTTGGTACCCGTGTTCGACATATTGACTACATCCAAATTTCCAATACCAAATTGTTACGCTAAATTCAGATTCCACTATTAAATATACTAGAAAAATAAAACTATAAGATTACTATTCAATACTTTTGTAAAATAAATCTTTCGATGACATGAATCGAACGGCAACGTGAATAATATTACGATAGAATGATTTTTTTAAACATTTTATTGTATAAGTCTCAGGGTTTAATCAATCTTTAATCTAATCGTCTTTCTTAGTGTCGGTCTTTCCACCACGAATTCTTCCTGTACGACGAGCAGCAATAAGACCGATCTTACGACCAGCGCTAGTTCCACGTTTAACTGTGGATGCTTTACCAATATGTTGATGGTTACCACCACCATGAGGATGCTCAACTGGGTTCATAGCAACACCACGAACCTGTAAATAAGAAAAGATATTACAGACCCAATACCGTGACGCCACACCATATTATAGATATCAAACTGCAGGCATGCTCAGTTCAAAGATTTTCCACAACAAATTGTTCAGGTTTCAAATGTCTAAAAACCATCATCGACAAACATTTTTCTAATAAAACGTAAAAATCTGCACATATTGTATTTAGTAATGTAAAAGATAAACTGTACCTTAGGCCAGCAATTTCTCTTCGCCTTGTATTTATGATACGCTCGACCAGCTTTAAGGATTGGTTTATCAATACGTCCACCACCAGCAACAATACCAACCATTGCTCTATTGTTGGATGGTATAACCTTTTTAGCGCCAGATGGTAATTTCACTCTGGTTTTCTTTGTATCGGGATTATGAGCTATGACTGTAGCATAATTTCCCGAAGCCCTCGCCAATCGACCTCTGTCGCCAGTTTTTTCCTCCAAATTACAAATAATGGTACCTTCAGGCATTTGACCAACAGGCATCACATTTCCAATTTGGAGATTCGCTGCAACATAAAATATTCTATATTATTGATTTATACCAATACTTTTTCCATATTTCTTCCATTTATAAATAATTCAATGCATTCTAAATAATATATCCTGGTTAAAGTTCTTCGTTTACCTTTTTTCCCGCAATACAAAAATTGTCCAGTATACATTCCTTCGGGAGCAATAAATAATTCTTTACGGGTTTTGAACTTGTATGGATCTCTGAAATGAACAACAGCTAATGGTGCACCACGACCAGGGTCATGAATGATATCCTGCAAATGCAATCATTTTTAACAGAAGATAGTAATAAATTTTTATAGTATAATTTTATAAAAACGCATAATAGTGTCAGAAAGAGCCTCTAGTAGCTATTCATCAGATGTCTATTCAGAAGTAGACAAACTAGAATTCATCATGAATGTGAATATAACTTCTAAAAAGTGAAAATACAGTAGGAATCTACAGTAAAAAGGAAAAGTGAAAAAAAAGAAACAAAACAAAGTTAACTGAAAATATTATAAAATAAAAAAATTGAACGAACCTTCACAACACCTTTGATGTAACCATGTCTCTCGGAGAAATCTAAGGAGCGAAGTTTTGGTGCTCCCTTTCTCCTTTTTGTATGGGATCTGAAAACAGATCCAGCTCCTTTACGCTGAGCACGAATCACTCGACCCATGGTTTAAATCCTATTCACAAAATTACATAAAACGTTAAATTATTTTGCTCTTACAATGCTAGAAACAGTGAAAAACGTGACACTATCTGTTATTCTCGTAACGTAACAACATAACCTCTAAACGATACAATCAACATTTAACTTAATTTCCTTCCTAAAAACTAAAATATTTACAGAAACGTCTACAAAATCAACAAATGTGTTCTAATAACAATTGTTTTATAGCAGATGCATTTTATTTTCATAAATTTAAGAGGATTTTAAATGTAACATAATCACGCGTCACATACCGACCGAACCAATATCGAACAGAGAAAGACACAACCGGAAATCACTTCAACGTGTAAAGTTTAAATTGGTTGCACTGAGCGTCCCGCTGAAATGTTTGATTTTAAAAATCGAAATGTATCTTTGGAGAAACGATACTTGGTATAGATTTTATTATAAAAATAATAATTTAATAATTGTTAATTTTATAGTATTAAGCATTTATATACTTCTGCTCTGTGTGTGCGTGTGTGTGTGTATATATATATATAGAAACTCTCACTTGTATTAGTTATCAATACCAAGAATACTTAGGGAAACGGATGTTCCGACTATCGTAACGCAAGCATGCAAAATGTGTAGACTCGTTTGCATAATATTCTCAAGTTTAGTTTTAATTTGTGTGTGTGCTTTAATTTTATTAAAATAATTTAAATGAAAAAAATAATTTTGTGCTCATTCACTGCTTTCCTTTGCTTTTCGCAGTTCATGTTTTAGGTAATATTGAAATATTTTCTTTATCAACAAAATTTTACGAAATATGATTTTTCATAAAACTTAAATTATTCCAACCAAATTATACCAATTTAATTTAAAAGCTGACACATATTAATGATATATATCACAACAATAAAACTTTATCACTATAAAATATATGTATGTGGACATCAACTTATCAACTCATACATCCTGTAATAAGGACTGCAGGACTTAACTCAATAAACATGATAGTGTTATCGCTAAAAGTTTATTTAAATTACACTCTTTTATTAAACGAAACATGCTCATTAAATAAGGAAGTAAAAAAGATCATTATTCCGTTTAGAGACTGATTCTTCTGCACGTGGAAGATGAAATTAATGCCACGAAACAGGAACCACCGTGTTTCCAACTTAATATTAATTAACGACAAGAGAATTACAAGATGCGAAGATTGTAATGTAAGATTTTTGAACATATTTACAGTTACGTTGCCGAATTCTAACGATGGATATCCGGCATTAACATTTTCGTACATGAGGGGCGGTTTCAGTAGAGGTTCTGCTTGTCAGTATGAGATAAAGAATATAATTGAAAGAAAAATAATACAAATTGTATCGATTCAATATAGATTGGGTTCATTTGATAATCAAACTACAAATAAATACCTACATTAATGTAATTATTATAATATTTATTTTCATTGTATAATAGTAAGACAGAAAAAGTACTTTTTCATACATTATGTTACAGATTTATGTTAGGATTTTTAAGTTCCTGGACGAAGGAATTACCGGGTAAAATAATGGCATATTCGACATTATGCTAGTGGTTAAATAAGTGGAAGATTATATAGAATATTTTGATGAACATCAAAGAAAGAATTATAGCATTTGGTCATGGTACAGGAGCTAGTGCTGCCTTCACGTTCGCATTATCGGAATTATCGAGAAGTAAATAATTGTATATACAATTATAAAATTCTCATAATGATGCTCTATGATTAAAAAATCTCTATAACGAATTTTAAAGAACGAAACAAAAATCAATGATTTGATAGAAAGTACAAAATATGAGAAATTAAAAATTATATTTGGAAAGAAATTTCAGCAGGCAAATATATGTATAATCCATAAGTACAATTCTATATAAAAGATTAAAATATTATAGCTATATGTACGTAATGCACGGGAAGCATAAAATAACAATATATTTAGCGCGAATTTAAAATGTTCAAAATGGATGTGATTAACTGTCATTCTTTGGTACATCCTGGAACAATTGCAGCATTTCTTCTTCCTCTTTTTCTTGTGCAAAATGCTCTTTATTTACTTCAGATATTCTAGAAATATTTTCCGAGCTACGCTTAATATCTCCTGTTGTATTCGTATTTTCAATACAAATACCGTCAGTTTGTTTAATAACGTTCAATGATGACATTGATCTCGGTATTTCTGTATCACTAAACACGACTGTCATTGAAGCAGTTTCATTTACTGATTCGTCAGAAATTTGTGCAGCTTGTTCACTTTCTATAATATCTTTATTCTGTATTGTAACTGTTATTTGTTCTTTTATCGTGTTATCTTGTTCTTTTACAATATCTTTGTTTGTTTGTGTAATATGCAGTTTATCTTCAGTAGTATTTTCTGTCCCAGGTTCAGCAATTTCATTATGATGTGAATTTGTAACTTTTAATTTTTTATTTGGCGATGGTTCTACACCTTCGTCTGCGATAGTTTCAACAAAAGGTGAAAGTACGTTTTCCATTGTGCTGTGTCCTTGTACAATTTGTTCATCGGTGACAAATTCCTTTTGTATTGTCCTGAAAAATATATATAATTTCGATTTAAAATCTAAATTATAGAAAACTATTCGCCATTGACATTAATATTCTTAGGCAAATATATGAACTCTTAAAACTTACTCTACTTGAGTTAGTTGAATAGTTGGAGCATGAGGATGCGTGATTTTTTCAAGTTCGGCCAATGCCACTTTGGCTTCTTGAATAATATCTAAATTATTATCATTCAAAGCCATTTCAAATATCTCTAGAGAGTATTGCGTAGGTAAAGGCGTTAAGGAATGTGGATTCATTTGCAGAGCTCTCAATACTCTAAATAGTAACAAACGACAGTGAGTATGTTCTTTATAAAATTTTTGTTCAGTTGTGCTCAAATAACAGTCATACAGCAAAGGTATTACAATATTTTGTACAGTCTAAGAAAAAAAAAAGAAACAATTATTACATCCAGCATCAAGCTTCATAACAAAATATGAAAGTGGAAAGCTTACCTTAAAAAATGTTTGTTTTAAAAGAGTTCCACTATTGAAAAATACATTTTGCAATACATCAAGAGCCACTTTACATACATCCGTATCCAGATAATGCTCTTTATTAGAAGCAATTCCATTACTCAAATGTATACCCTTCTCATATTGACTATCTCGGAGACGCTTCAATGCTCTTTTTGATAAATTTTGTGTTTTTTGAATCTGTGACACCAATTTATCCGTTAAACAAGTCAATTAAGTTTGTATTATATCGAAATGCAATTAAATTTTTGTTAAATGCTATTATAAACTCACAGTCAATAAAACACGATCTTTTTCTGGTACAATATCTTTTAATATAGAAGAAAGATATTCATCCGCAACTGTCTCTATACCAGATAATGAATTAGTATTCATTAACCAAGAGTTCAGACATTTATAAACAGATATCCTTACATTTCTAAATGGTTTGTTTCTATTAATCGTTATCTGGTTTTCTAAAGCATTCTCTGTCCATTGCAATGTTTGAAGAAGCAGTTCCAATATCGTCGATCCATACGATACTAACTGTTCTTTAAATCTACATGTTTTAAACTCATATAAATTTCATTTTAACAATAGTTTGCTATTTCAAAATTATAATATTCCTACCCATTTATTAGTGAATTCAAAACATTGAATAAAGCAATATGTAGTTTTGGTAAAATAAGATATAAAATCTGTTCTTTGACAGAATTTTGATTTTTTATGTTTGACGGTTGTATCGCTAATCCTCTACATAAAACCTTCAAGATCTCATGCGGTAATACTGAATTTTTGTCATCAACTCCGCTATAAAGTTTAGACTATTTAAACAATCTCCTTTTAATATATTACATACAAACTAACATTTGTAAATTATTCTCTTACCATAACATAAATGATAAATAAGAACACAAGTTCGAAAATCTTTGTTTCTGTGTAAAATAGAATTGAATGATATTCTCTTCAGATATATTAGGTAATTCTAATTTATCCCATATGTTCACATTTTCTAATTCTGTCAAGTTTGAAAATAATTCATCCATTATTACATGTAAGCTATTGCAAATAAGCGCTTGGTTATATATCCATCCAGTATAATTTGGTTTCGAAGGTGGAGGTTTAAACGAACGCTCTGTTGCTTTTGCCAGAAGGGCATAGCATTTTGCACTGGCGCAAACCAGATTTTCTTGCGTAGAATCAACTTGTAGTAGTATAATTTTTTTTATAGTCACCTGAGATATTAAAATATTTCACACTAAATAAATATGTCTATACATCACTTTTCTGCGATAGTAAAGAAGATCGGCTACCTGAGAACGTTCACAAACTTCTGGATATCGATGTAATAATACAGCAATTAAATAATATACCGGACCACATTTCTTTTCTGTACTCAAGTTACTAATTACATTGATAAGCTGCTTTACATTTTGCATAGATACTTGTTTTTGTATCTCAGGAATATCTTTTGATCTGATAATCAGTTGTCCAAGAACTTTACAAGAAATGGATAACTCTTGTGGCGTACTATGGATACTATCTAATACTTGGGTAGCTTTTGACATCCATAGTATGCAATATTTTAAAAGAATATCTTTCGAGCATTGTGGTAAGATCGTGTCCAAAATCAATAAACCTTTACATCGAGTTTGTGATTGATTTAAATAGGCATTTACAGTCGATACAATGACATTCTGTACTTTTTCAACCTAAAAATAGAAACGTACATTGTATATTATATGGTGTATTTGCGTTGAAATTACGATCGAAATGTATTATTTTTCAAGTGTAAGGTTATGTTCAAAAATATAATTTTACCTCTTCTACATCAAATGGTATATCTCCGTTAAAACATATTAAGTGTTGCAAGAATTCTTCATACTCTTTTGATTCGTGATCAAAAAAATTAATTAATTCCATTATTGTTGCCATTTTATTTCTATAACGATCCACGTGCTTTCGGCAAAATCACAAGTGTGGTTAACTATAAGGGAATCTAGCTATGAAGTATGTATAATATTTTCTATGTACAATACAAGAATCCCATGAGTACACAATAACTATATTTAACTGTAACTACATTTTGCATTTTTAATATAATTCAACGTCATTGAAAAGAAATCAAAAATTTAATTTTTAAGCATAAAGTAGTTATTATGTATATTTAAAAAATATTTGGTTCAAAAAAAAAAAAATACATATATGTACATAATAAATTATGAAAAAACATTATTATATTTTAATTATACTTTAAAATAAAAATTCATATATTATTATTTTATATATATATATATATACATGTATAATTTTTTGCTATATTCGTACAAGATGAAAATTAATTAAATCACAGAACTGAATCATCGATACTGATATTAAATATCGTTATTAAGATCGTTCACTTTATTACATCTTGATATCTTTTGTTTAAATCTTCATCTGTATCTTTGGAAATCTAGATAAATCGCGCGCTCAGAAGCAGTTAGAGCGGAGTAAATGACGAGATTCTTTTACGCAATGTGATTGGCCTCAATTGTAAAAGGAATTACATATTATGTAATTTTGCGGTGTACTCGGTGACGACGATTTAAATATTTCTTCTTCTCTCATGGGTGTATACGATCACGCGAACCACGTTTTACGCTACTTTTTACATTAATCTCTCCGCTGCAATAAGAGAAATAACTTTAACGTAAAATACAGTTTTAAATGTTTGTAACGTTTAAACGTATAAGATAATGATATAGATTGTTTTTTAATCGATTCAATTTGTTTGATAAACAATCATAAATATTAATTCTATAGCTATTTAATTTCAGGATTCTTGCATTAATTAACGGATAAAATTAAAAACCAGAAATAGAAGAGTAAGTGAGATATACATGTATGTATGTACGTGTATGCATGTACGGTATATGTATTAATAAGCGTTTGAAGCTAATTTTTTAATATACTTTTTATAATGTAGGACTATTAAAAATTTCCTTACTGTTGTATAGATGATCTAAAATGTAAAAATATTCTAAAAAATAATTGGCTGCAGTTAGAGCGAAATAAAAATGATAAGCGGATGAGCTATGGATGGAACATAGGCGAAAGATAGAACGTTAACGTAAGAATAAATTTATTTTCCGTGTCAGTTGTTGAAATTAAATTGTAATTTATTATAAATTGTATTATTATTCAATTGTATTTAGCATTTCCTTTGTCTCTTCTGTTTCGTTAGATTTCCAATGAACAGTCTGAAAATAGTATAAGATACGTCACAGTGTATTTGGAGTATACCTACGAGTATACCTACGAGTGTATTCGTTTCCTTAAGAGTAGATTTCTTTTTATCTCGTTTTTTCTCTTTAAATCTTCTCTTTAAATTTCTCTTTAAATAATATGATTCACACCGTTACGAGACTATAAAAAAAAGGATATTTATTAAAAACCGTAATAACGGAGAACAAATAGGAACGGAAAAAGGATAACTAATTTGCGTAAAAAAAAAAAAAAAAAAAAAAAAGAGAAAAAAGCAAAGTAGCCGTGTAAACAATGAGGAACATAAAGTGGAGAGGCATTGAGACGTGGTAGCTGCTGGGTATTAGTGTGGAAGGTAAAAATCGAGTCACAGGTATACACGGTAATAAATAGAAAAAAAGATCTGAAAGGAAACAAGGATATTTCAATTACATTCACGTGCGTATAGAGAGGTTGCTACATAGGAAGAAAACTGTGTTGAGCCCTAACGCCTACCGGCCATCCTCCTGCCTCATCAGGACAGCGTTGAGTACGAGGCTTTCCCCCTCCTGTTGGTTTTGTCTTTCCTCCCTCTCCTTCGTCGGCATCCTACGTCCTTCCTCTCGCCATTCGGACTCGCTCCTACCTCCTACCTAGCCCCTAGCACTCGTTCCTCGGATCAGTTCCCCTACCTACCGGTGTCCAGTTATGTTGTGGAGAACGTTGCTCGGGCAACAATTTGTTTGGACTTTTGTTTCGGGAGACGTCCCGTAGAATCGTTCGTTCGATAAAGACGTTGCGGACTGTATCACGTTATCGATCGTGCGTTCAGTGATCGTGAAAAAGTACACTCGGTCGATTTTGTTTGATTTTTTAATAATCGTCCAGTCCATTTACATTCCAGACCCACGCGTGCTTCTCGATATACATTTGCGCAGGATCTGGTGTGCTTGGTGAACAGATTTGGGAGAAAGGTGAAAATATTTTTCAAGAAGCAACGTCGACGGTAGTTTCGATAGGATCTCTAGCTGGAATTTTCTACGATCGAATCAGGAATGCGGCGCGAATCGTTAGCGGAAAATGGACATTAAAGAGGTACATACGTAAGTATAGCGAATAGCGAATCAGAACCTATGTATGCACACAGCCATATTGAAAAGGATCGGTTTCCGAAGGAGATTTCGTGACAGTTAGGAAAGAAAGTTTCGGAGCGCGATTCGTTTTCTGCCGTTAGTGGCTTCTTTGCTTCCTTTACGGTCCGTGAGAGAGCGGACCCACCTTCTGACAGGTGGAATGCGGCAACCTAACATAGCCGTGGGGCCCGACAATCGCGATCGCAGCGACGCGAAGCGACTTGTTCAGGTATGTGCCTTTGCTTTGCCCGCGACTCTTGTCTTTTGCCTTTTCTTCGTTTTGCTTTACTTTGCTACTTTCCTTCCCATTCCTTTCCTTTCCTTTCCTTTCCTTTCCTTTCCTTTATCGCGCTTCTTTCGGAAACGCGATTCGCTGGGAAATATTAATTTTGGTAGATATATCGGTTCGTTTAAAAATTATGTGGAAAATTTAAGGAATTTAAGTTTAAGGAAAATTTAAAGGTAATATATTTTCGTAGAATTATCATATTTTAGAATTGTATCACGTAAACAGAATATACACCGTTTCTTCGAGTGATTTTCTGTCATTTAGTCGATAGCCTTATGATCGTTAATTCGAAAAATTCGTTTGGAAGTTGCGAACCCGATGAGAATCTTTGGTCGTTAATGTGTAATAAAGAAAAGAAGTGCGTGAAGAAGTTAGCTACTCTTATCCATGATACGGGAGTGAAAGTAAAAGATAGCGTTATGCCAGAAGTAATGGAAGTAACAAAAATAATAAAACGAAAGTAAGAGCAAGTATATATTTAGCTGATGTTCGCTACTTGATTTAATTCTCTTTTCTAAAATCTTCTTATATCTCTATTAATTGTAAAAAAAGAAAAAAAAAACGCAGCTTCTGTCGCTCGAAACACCCTATATACGCTAATATACACGCAGCTAACGCGTTATTTATTTATCTAATATTCGACCATTCTCGAGGTGATTATTACAAACATGGCCTTAATGACACAACGTCTGACTTGGTCGCTTTATGAGTTCTCGCGGTCACTGTACACAGCAATTGCTGATGCGCTAATATCTAAACATGGCATAACAGGCACCTGTTTCATCCGCGGAATGTACACGCAAAAAGTGGTGAATTACGTTATCCACCAAGATTATTGCACAGTACGTAAGAAAAGTGAAAAATCGATTTTCCAAGTGTTGCAAATATCTCGAGGCTTTTAGAAACGATTGCTCTTTAAATATTACGTTAAACTTCTTTTCGTTTCGTGCAATCATTTTTATGTACTTCCAAAGGCTCGATGTTGTAGCTTTGACTTTCACTCGTTGCACTACTTTCACCCAACCTGAAATGCGTAAGAAAATTTCGAAACGAAAAATCCTACTGATATTCTTGACGATATTACGCTTCGTTTCATTAATTAGGGCTACAATAATTTCGAAGTTAATATTGGCTGGGTTAGAAAGTTGATGGCGAAATTTGAAATTTTAAAGGCGATGTAGTATTTTCATTGACTTATCATTTTATACACCGATATATGTATACACACACACACACACACACACACACACACACACACACACACACACACACACACACACCGATCCTTTCCATGACTTTTTGCAATTCATAAGGAATCAGTGTGCTGTTCTAAGCAAATTATTAAACCATGCCGCGTTCCTTCAATCGTTACATGACAATTCATTTCAATAAATAAAAGCTGTTGGAATCCTGGTCGGTTTTCGCTCGGCATCTCTGCAACGCGATTTATTCGTAGTTGTATCGTGGTTATTTCAGCGCAGCTTTGGTGCTTCGGTATTCGCATAAAACATAGAACTATCTCTCATGTTTAATTGTTACTCACTGTACGTGGAGGTAGCAGGCACTGACACGTTAGACTACCAATAGTCTCAGTGGTGATAAGAGAGGTCCATGCGCCACAGACTGTTAGAGCCTTGAGCGTGAGTACCACAATGCAGCCTTTTCTCTAGCAAAACGAGAATACACGTGTGCTTCGTTTAACACGATAGTAGTCGTCAATGATTGCAACAATAATAAAAAGAAATTAATAATAGAAGGAGAAACGCAAACATTTAATGTTTTGAAAGGATATTTATACATGAAATTGGAATATCAGTTACATCGTAATATTAATGCGACAATAATAACATCAATAATTCATTCACTTTGTCTTGACATTTAAATTTTCCCTCGAGAGATACGTGCATATATTATCGTGTCAATATTTAGCTAACATACTTGAAATTTCCGCTGTTACAAGAAAACTCTATCGTATTTGAACATTCTCACACTGCAGAATGTGAGAAAGCAAAGGAATTAAATTGTTCAGAATCTGTTTAGAGTTACTTGTTCTTTTGGTGGAAATCGTTACAACAAGGCGTGTGGTCGTGCTAACTGATGGGAATTTTCAAGGATGGAGATGGAAAGTTGTATCGGTACATTTTTCGTTATTCTCAGAGGATCAGAGAGCTTCTTCAGAATGGATCGATCGGCGAATTTAGTACGGATCATATACTTGGAACGAACTAGACGTTATCTCGTAAGCAGTCTTGTTAGGTCGTTTATACGTTGTACGTTGCATGATAAATCCTTTATCGTAAACTCACCTCTACGATCGTTATACCTTTTTCGATCGTTTCCATTTATATTCTCCGGATGTCAGCGTGTATCTGAATATGTAAGCGGAGTATCCGAAAAAGGAATGTACGTACTATGCAAAAGGTAGCTTTTAACACATTCTATCTGTTCATGTATGTTTATTAAACTGATTCACACAATTTTACGGCATATTTTTCTTTTATCGAAAGATTTTCCAATGAAATTAAAAAAGTTCATTTGTTCAAACTACTTGCAGTTAACTGTTGGCAATTAACAGCTTTCGTTCGTACAAAAAAGCTTGTACGTTGATAAGCGCCGGAAGAATAAAAAAAAAATGTTTGAACGTGATATACATCAGCGCCGTCCAAAGTTGTCTGCTGCCAGAAAAACGCTGTTACCACCATCGTTTATTTACATTTTTCGCTTCTCACACACGTATCGCGAATCATTTCCAACGTTTACTTGGTGAAACTGCGGAAAGGCTATCTCGTATCCGATTTCAATGACTTTGAAATATGCGATAGAAATTAATATTTTGAATAACTTTTTCCTCTCTCTCTCTCTCTCTCTCTCTCTCTATATATATATATATATATATATATATATATATTACAGTGTACGCGTGAGTATTGGTTGCCAGTCGCCTTATCTTCCGCTTATAGAGGAGGGTCGGGCGAGCTTGAAGCCCCGTGCACAACTGTATATTCGAGACTAGACCGATGTAATAAAAAAGGAGAAAAAGTAACGCGAGTAAGAAGTGTCTATTACAACTCGATTAAATCGATTGGGCTTTGATTGGGCTGAGATTTTTCAATCCGGCCGCCGTGCATGAAATAATAACAATACAATTAGAAAATGCATATAAAATATATATAAAAGAAATGTATAAAACGTTCAAAGTATCGATGTACGTGATTTAGATCTTTATTTATATTTCTATTTCTTTAGTTGTGTTGATAAAAATGCGATTTTGTATAAAAATCGTACGGTGTTAAAAAATATCAAAGGTTATGATTCCGTCTTATTTGTAGTTTGCGTGTAGTTTGCGTAAAGTGATTTGTAGTTTGCGTTCCAAAAAAAGATCTATAGATTAGCAACAGCGTCGAAGCTTATATAATACACGTACGCAAGTATATACATGTAGATTCGGTGCTTTACGCTATTTTAATGCTGTTTTTTAATGCTCGTAATAAAATTTCCAGTAATAAATAGTACTGTGCACGAATGAAAAGTCATAAATATCTACTTATCTACTTATTAATTTTCAAGTCGTTAATCGTAGACGCGAACCGCGTAAAAAAAGCTTTAGAATCTAAAAAACATATCGATCGCATCTTCTAGCGACTCGAGGCGAGATTCCAACGTTTATCTAAATTATTCCATCGGGTTTAGTATTCGTGGCGGAAGTTTATCCAAGTTACGTAATTCTAGACAAGTCGGAGAATATAAAGGAATATACATCTGTTTGTCGGATGCTTGAAACATCAGTAAACATTAATGATGGTAAACATTGGGAAGGGTAGCCGTCACCGTTGAAACGGAGGACGATCGTTGTACCGATGACGAGTGTCGCTGTGACACTGCAATCTATTGTTAGAACCAGATAATTCGAGAGAGATAAATGGCATTACCGTTGTCGAAATGCAATTATGTTATGTTAAAAGTAGCTTATGAAAGTATTGAACACTATGGATGATGGAAAATAACGTTTGAAACAAATGTCGTAGGATTCCGAGGAGAGCACAGTTGTGCCGATATTTATTTTATCTTGCTTTGATAATCAAATCTTTGACTTTGAAAATCCCAATGAAGCTCAGAAAAAAGGTTTATACCTTTGATAGTTATTAATTTGGGTACCATGATATCCTTTTATTCGAAATTCACGCATCGATACATACACGCGTGGCGAAATTAAAACATTTCATATCGCGTGTATCACTCTAAATTGAAGATAATAAGGTTAACGTTTAGCCGGATTTCCTTCGAGCTCGATCTATCTTTTTTAAAGGACGAATAGGAGGTATCGACCGTTCAACAAACGGTTAGACTAGCTGTTAAATAAGATTATCGATATTACGTTAATCCGTTGGACGTAAATACGATTATTCCGAAGCACACGATAAATTTAAATCGTAGAGTAACTATTAACGCGAGCCTCGTTTCCTGATGGCTGTAAAGTCATATCGTTCGCCGCAATAACTTCCTTCTATATAGCTATATGCGTTCTCTCTTCGAACCTTTATCTAAAAAGTTACAAACACCTTGTTACCTTGACATAACGTTACTGCCACGCCTTTCACCATGAATATGTATGGAGTAGGTCGAGGATCGTTAAAATCTACCGACTTGTTAGGCACCTTCTTTTTTTCATCTCCGTCTACAT